TGGCCAAGCCGCAACACGGCCGGTAGGGGCCAGTCGGTGCGTGAGCGTGTCCGGCCGGTGGATCGATAGGACGGCGTGGACCGAGTCGCCAGATCGGCCAATGCTGCCTCAGTCGACGGCCGAAGGGTCACTCGCCTCGAGCGAGCTCTCGCATTGCTCCACGCTTCGCTGCCTCGGCGCCGGCGGGCCCGCCAAGTCGCGTCCGCCGGACAACTGTCCGCCGGTGGCCGCGACAGGCGGGCCCGACTTCGGCCGGAGTCTGCTGGAGCAGTTGATCAGCCTGTCGATCAGTCGGCTCAAAGTGCAGGCCGGCCAGAGTCAGGTGCAACGCAACAACCGACGCATCAAACTGCAGGCGCTCAAGTACGCCCTCGGCCATCTCGAGGCCTGCCTCTTCAGCCCCGACCCGCGGGTCGACTGCGGCCTCGTCGGCGGCCTGCTCGATGACGTCGGCCCGCTGATGCCTCGGCCGGTCGTCGGGCCGGCCGACCAGCGCACGTTGGCCGGACGTCGGGCCGACGCGCCGCGCCGCCACGTCGGCGTCCGGCGACGCAGTGAGTACATGGCACGACTGCGCCGACGTCTCGAGTTGGACATACTCACGAACCGGGGAGCTCTGCGTGAGCGCCTCGAGGTGATCAATCATACGATGCCCCGGACGGATGAGGAGATCGCGACCTGCGAGTTGGCCAGAGCCTTCGGCAAACGACTCGGCTGCCAAATTTATGCCAGGCTCAAATGCTGCGTCGACGCTGCTCTGCAGTGAGGAGAGCATCACTTTCAGTTGTTACTCTTCACCCTTTTTGTTTCCGTCACCCAATAGAGACCTATTTACCACTTTGTCACTTCCTCAACGCCCCACATGCCCGGCATCTGTCGATCTGTAGGACCGGAAATTCCGTCACCATGACGCCTCGTCTTCATTAACAGGCTTAAGTATCGTTATGGCGGAGACTGAGTTCGTATAAAAAATGCATGATAAAGAGATTCGTGGGCCAACCTCACAAGACGTCGGCTGATTCCCGCTATAATACTACATTCAGGTAGATTTAGCCTCTTGTTTCGGATTGTAACGGAGTGAGCATTGGTTTGTCATACGAATAACGAATATCATCAGAGCTGGAACTCATTCTTGTAAATGTACGAAGCAAATACTAAGTCAAGAAAGCAATGGTTCGTCATATGAATAAAGATTATCATCAGAACTGGAACTCATTATTGTAAAAGGTCCGAAGCAAATACTAAATTAAGAAATCATTGGTTCGTCATATGAAT